AAAACAAACCCAAAACAATTAAGAAAATGGTCATAGGAACAAACGTATCGATAATTACCTTAAACATGAATGGATTAAATGCTCCAACCAAAAGACAGAGGCAGGCTCAATGGATACAAAAACAAGACCCATATATATGCTGTCTACAAGAGACCCACTTCAGACCTAGGGACACATACAGACTGAAAGTGAGGGGATGGAAAAAGATATTCCATGCAAATGGAAATCAAAAGAAAGCTGGAGTAGCAGTACTCATATCAGATAAACTAGACTTTAAAATAAAGAATGTTACAAGAGACAAGGAAGGACACTACATAATGATCAAGGGATCAATCCAAGAAGAAGATATAACAATTATAAATATATATGCCCCCAACACAGGAGCACCTCAATACATAAGGCAACTGCTAACAGCTATAAAAGAGGAAATCGACAGTAACACAGTAATAGTGAGGGACTTTAACACCTCACTTACACCAGTGGACAGATCATCCAAAATGAAAATAAATAAGGAAACAGAAGATTTAACTAACACAAGAGACCAGATAGATTTAATTGATATTTACAGGACATTCCATCCAAAAACAGCAGATTACACTTTCTTCTCAAGTGCACATGGAACATTCTCCAGGATAGATCACATCTTGGGTCACAAATCAAGCCTCAGTAAATTTAAGAAAATTGAAATCATATCAAGCATCTTTTCTGACCACAACGCTAGGAGATTAGAAATGAATTACAGGGAAAAAAGTGTAAAGAACACAAACACATGGAGGCTAAACAATACGTTACTACATAACCAAAAGATCACTGAAGAGATCAAAGAGGAAATCAAAAAATACCTAGAGAAAAATGACAATGAATACACGACGATCCAAAACCTATAGGATGCAGCGAAAGCAGTTCTAAGAAGTTTATAGCTATACAAGCCTACCTCAAGAAACAAGAAAAATCTCAAACAATCTAACCTTACACCTAAAGGAACTAGAGAAAGAAGAACAAACAAAACCCAAAGTTAGCAGAAGGAAAGAAATCATAAAGATCAGAGCAGAAATAAATGAAATAGAAACAAAGAAAACAAATGCAAAGATCAATAAAACTAAAAGCTGGTTCTTTGAGAAGATTAACAAAATTGATAAACCATTAGTCAGACTCATCAAGAAAAAGAGGGAGAGGACTCAAATCAATAAAATTAGAAATGAAAAAGGAGAAGTTACAGCAGACACCACAGAAATACAAAGCATCCTAAGAGACTACTACAAGCAACTCTATGCCGATAAAGTGGACGACCTGGAAGAAATGGACAAATTCTTAGAAAGGTATAACCTTCCAAGACTGAACCAGGAAGAAAATAGAAAATATGAACAGACCAATCACAAGTAATGAAATTGAAAATGTGATTAAAAATCTTCCAACAAACAAAAGTCCAGGACCAGATAGTTTCACAGATGAATTCTATCAAACATTTAGAGAAAAGCTAACACCCATCCTTCTCAAACTCTTCCCAAAAATTGCAGTGGAAGGAACACTCCCAAACTCATTCTATGAGGCCACCATCACGCTGATGCCAAAACCAGACAAAGATACCACAAAAAAAGAAAATTACAGACCAATATCACTGATGAATATAGATACAAAACTCTGCAACAAAATACTAGCAAACAGAATCCAACAACACATTAAAAGGATCATACACCATGATCAAGTGGGATTTATCCCAGGGATGCAAAGATTCTTCAATACACCCAAGGAGAAAAAGGAGAAAAAACCATATGATCATCTCAAGAGATGCAGAGAAAGCTTTCGACAAAATTCAACACCATTTATGATAAAAACCCTCCAGAAAGTAGGCATAGAGGGAACTTATCTCAACATAATAAAGGCCATATATGACAAAACCACAGCTAACATCGTCCTCAATGGTGAAAAACTGAAACCTTTTCACTAAGATCAGGAACAAGACAAGGTTGCCCACTCTCACCACTATTATTCAACATAGTTTTGGAAGTTTTAACTACAGCAATCAGAGAAGAAAAAGAAATAAGAGGAACCCAAATTGGAAAAGAAGTAAAGCTGTCACTGTTTGCAGATGACATACTATACATAGAGAATCCTAAAGATGCTACCAGAAAACTACTAGAGCTAATCAATGAATTTGGTAAAGTTGCAGGATACAAAATTAGTGCACAGAAATCTCTTGCATCCCTATACACTAATGATGAAAAATCTGAAAGGGAAATTAAGGAAACACTCCCATTTACCACTGCAACAAAAAGAATAAAATATCTAGGAATAAACCTACCTAAGGAACAAAAGATCTGTATGTAGAAAATTATAAGACACTGATGAAAGAAATTAAAGATGATACAAACAGATGGAGAGATATACCATGTTCTTGGATTGGAAGAATCAACACTGTGAAAATGACTATACTACCCAAAGCAATCTACAGATTCACTGCAATCCCTATCAAACTACCACTGGCATTTTTCACAGAAGTAGAACAAAAATTTCACAATTTGTACAGAAATACAAAAGACCCCAAATAGCCAAAGCAATCTTGAGAAAAAAAATAGAGCTGGAGGAATCAGGCTCCCGGACTTCAGACTATACTACAAAGCTACAGTAATCAAGACAGTATGGTGCTGGCACAAAAACAGAAATATAGATCAATGGAACAGGAGAGAAAGCCCAGAGATAAACCCATGCACATATGGTCACCCTATCTTTGATAAAGGAGGCAAGAATATACAGTGGAGAAAAGACAGCCTCTTCAGTAAGTGGTGCTGGGAAAACTGGACAGCTACATGTAAAAGAATGAAATTAGAACACTCCCTAACACCATACACAAAAATAAACTCAAAATGGATTAAAGACCTAAATTTAAGGCCAGAAACTATAAAACTCTTAGAGGAAAACATAGGCAGAACACTCTATGACATAAATCACAGCAAGATCCTTTTTGACCCACCTCTCAGAGAAATGGAAATGAAAACAAAAATAAACAAATGGGACCTAATGAAACTTAAAAGCTTTTGCACAGCAAAGGAAACCATAAACAAGACAAAAAGACAACCCACAGAATGGGAGAAAATATTTGCAAATGAAGCAACTGACAAAGGATTAATCGCCAAAATTTACAAGCAGCTCATACAGCTCAATATGAAAAAAACCACCAACCCAATCCAAAAATGGGCAGAAGACCTAAACAGACATTTCTCCAAAGAAGATATACAGATTGCCAACAAACACATGAAAGAATGCTCAACATCATTAATCATTAGAGAAATGCAAATCAAAACTACAATGAGATATCACTTCACACCGGTCAGAATGACCATCATCAAAAAATCTACAAACAGTAAATGCTGGAGAGGGTGTGGAGAAAAGGGAACCCTCATACACTGTTGGTGGGAATGTAAATTGATACAGCCACTATGGAGAACAGTATGGAGGTTCCTTAAAAAACTAAAAATAGAACTACCATACAACCCAGCAATCCCACTACTGGGCATATACCCTGAGAAAACCATAATTCAAAAAGAGTCATGTACCACAATGTTCACTGCAGCTCTATTTACAATAGCCAGGACATGGAAGCAACCGAAGTGTCCATCAACAGATGAATGGATAAAGATGTAGCACATATATACAATGGAATATTATTCAGCCATTAAAAAAAACCCAAAATTGAGTTATTTGTAATGAGGTGGATGGACCTAGAGTGTGATGTACAGAGTCAACTAAGTCAGAAAGAGAAAAACAAATACCGTAGGCTAACACACATATATGGAGTCTAAAAAACAAACAAAAAAATGGTCATGAAGAACCTAGGGGCAAGACGGGAATAAAGACGCAGACTTACTAGAGAATGGACTTGAGGATATGGGGAGGGGGAAGGGTAAGCTGGCACAAAGTGGGAGAGTGGCATGGGACATATACACGCTACCAAATGTAAAACAGACAGCTAGTGGGAAGCAGCCGCATAGCACAGGGAGGTCAGCTCGGTGCTTCGTGACCACCTAGAGGGGTGGGATAGGGAGGGTGGGAGGGAGGGAGACGCAAAAGGGAAGAGATGTGGAGATACATGTATATGTATAACTGATTCACTTTGTTATAAAGCAGAAACTAACACACCACTGTAAAGCAATTATACTCCAATAAAGATGTTAAAAAACAAACAAACAAACAAAAAACTATGCCTAGGGACTTCCCTGGTGGCGCAGTGGCTAAGAATCTGCCTGACAATGCAGGGGACACAGGTTCAAGCCCTGGTCTGGGAAGATCCCACATGCCGCGGAGCAACTAAGCCCATGCACCGCAACTACTGAGCCTGTGCTCTAGAGCACACGAGCCACAACTACTGAGCCTGCGTGCCGCAACTACTGAAGCCCGTGCACCTAGAGCCCGTGTTCCACAACAAGAGAAGCCATCGCAATGAGAAGCCCACACACCGTAACGAAGAGTAGCCCCTGCTCACCACAACTAGAGAAAGCCTGCGTACAGGAACGAAGACCCAACACAGCCAAATAAATAAATTAAATAAATAAATAAATGTATAAAAAAACTATGTTTAATACTGTCCTTTCTGGTAAAAGAATGCAACTACAGGATTATTTTAAGTCTTTAATCAATGACTGTTATCACTGATATCATATTTTTCCTCCAACTAAATCTACGTCCAAGTATGTCTCTGCTAAGGACAGGAAACAAAAAAACCTACAATGATGCAACTAGAAATGGTCACCTGAAATATCATGCTTACAGAATGCTAAGCTTAAAGTAATATACACCTTGAGTAAAATAAACTGCTTCATGGGAATTCCCTGGCGGTCCAGTGGTTAGGACTCGGTGCTTTCACTGCCGGGCGTGGATTCGATCCCTGGTCGGGGAACTAAGATCCTGCAAGCCGCACAGTGTGGCCAAATTAAAAACAAAAAACAAAAAAACAAAAACTGCTTCACATCTGGACATGATGGAAACAACTTTGCCCTCCTCACCTTATTCATGTTGTTTTCATCAACCACATCCTTGGATATATCCTGGATTATTTCTGGACACAAGATAAGGAGAATGATTTGTAGTGGCCAAACTGCTGCTTTACGTTTGGTGCTTTCAGCAAAACCATCCACTAGGTCAAAGAGTTTTTCTGCACACTCTACGTGAAAAATATAAATATTAAATGATATAATTAGATGAGAATAAAATCTCTGGCATTAAATTAAAAGCTGGTGCTATCCAAAAACCCAAAGGCCACATTTTTAAAAGATAAACTTGGAAGTTGACTTAACTCAGCAAATTCATTCAATTCAAGCAATGTTATATGATCTATGTATTAGAAGAGGTTATATTGTCTATGTATTAGAACAGCTATCTTGATCCATCCTAGAAAAGTCCAAATTTTAGAATAGCCAGACTTGTATTTAGTCTCAATGTGCAGGGCCTTATGCAAAGTGTGATGTATCCAAGAAACGAAGACTGAATAGCTTCTCAAAGGGAATTACCAAAGCTCTCCAGGAGTCTATTCTCCTTCTTGCAGTTGTGTCTTGAGAATTCCAAGTGGGGGTATTCCTACTTTACACACATCTCTCTAAATACAAACTAAAGCCTCAGAGCACACACAGAAAAAAGGTGCTTCTCTACACCAAAGAGCCATCAGTATCCAATCTACAACTCTAATTAAAGATCAAAGCTTCATTTCAAACTTCCTTATCCATTTGCTCAAAGGAAAAAGGTTGAGGCTAATTTAGAAATATAAGAAAAAAATAATATTTCCTATTTGACACAAGTTGAAAAGATTAAAAGCACCATAATCACAAAAATAACCTGGAAAATGATAGGTTTTTACCTCATAAGTAAGAGTTTAAAAGACAAAAACAAACAAACAAACAAAAAAACCCAATCTTATCCTTACCAGCCATATCAGTCTGTGGAATCTGGTATAACTTTGTAAATTCATCTGGATAATTTTCTACCCAGTTCCAAAATGCCTACAAATAACAAAACATATGTTTTTATGTCATATTTTCTTAATATAGTAAATAAAATAACATATGCCTCCAATTATATCACAAAATTCTAATTCCCTTCGGAAGAATATTGCAGTGCAGTCTTCCTAAAAATTAATGTGAAATTATCACTCAAGTCACAACTCCTTGATTCAAAATACTGAAGACAGCAACACTTATAACCAAAAATTAACAAAACTTTAATATCAAAGAGGTTATTACTTACTTTTTCCAGGCTATTTATAACTGCTAATTGTGCAACTTTCTTTAGGGCTTTAAATTTAAATGCTGTTTCTGGAGGGAAAAAAAAAAGTTTTACAATTAACTCTAGTTTAATTAGTTAACACAAATACAATTCAGAGCTACTGGTAAAAATAACTTTCCTTTTATATACAAACTGTTGTTCCAGTAAAGGTAAAGATAATTAGTATAAGCCAAAACCTCACTGGTTATGTCCACTAAAGACCAAACTGAACCTTGAACTTCAAAGGTTGTGAATTTTTTCCTTTGTTTTGTTTCTAATAATAACTACATTTTTTAAAAATGAATAAAATACACGGTCATTGTAGAAAATTCAAAAAATACACAGCAATCTAAGGGAAATTTAAAACATTATCTATGATTCTACCATTCAGAGACAATCACAGTTAACAGTTTGGTGAATTTTCTCCCTTCCCTTTTCCTATGCATGTATAAGACAAACATTTACCATAACTGAACAAAACCTGTTCATATCAAACCTGTTCTTTACATTTCACATCATATCCCCAAGTTTTTCCATATCATTAAAAATTCCTCATACATATATTTGATGGCTCTATACACAATAATAACTATTACTTGGACAATTACAACACGCCAGGTATTTTCAATCTAATATATTTAATTCTTTCAAAATCTTAATGCTTTCAGGTATTACAGACGAGCCAACTGTGTTTCTGAGGTTACAGATCTAATAAATGATTGAATTGGGCTTCAAAGCCATAGTCTTTTCCGTATACTTTGATGTCTTTCAGAATATTTAAGTCACGGTATTAAGTCACTGGTTATTTAAATATTTTCCAATTGTTGCATATTTATTTCCAATACTGCACTATTATAAGTAACATTAATACTTTTATATCCAAGTCTTTTCCACATTCCGATTATTTATTTAAGGCACATAAATACCTAGAAAAAGAACTGTCCAAAGAGATGAATATTTTTCAGGCTCTGGATAAATACTGCCAACCTGATTTTCAGAAGGGTTGGGCCAAAGGCCACTCCCACCAAGCAGCATATGAAAGTGCCCTTATCACATCCTTGCCATCATTAAATGTGTTCATTGCTTTTATTCTGCTAATTTGATTGTTCAAAGCAGTAGAATGCATTTTTAAAATAAGACTAAACATTTCTCCATATAAATATATTAGATATTTTAATTTCCTCTTCTATAAATGTACTGTCCACATTTATAAAAAGATTTATATCTGGAAAAGATGACCCTTCTGTAAACTATATTACTGGTAACAGTCTCTTGGCAGAGAACTCCCCATATGAACTTTTAATGAAGGGATGCAGGTACTTAATACAATTACATAAATATCTTTATAAGGTAGAGATGAGTCTACAAGTTAGAAAATTGTCTAAATAATCCTTTAAAAGTCACTTTTTTTCCTGGACTTGGAAATGAGCAGCTTGGTCTCCAAGTCAGTTTTAAAACATACCCTTCCGACCTTCTTTGCTCTTGCTCTCCTTTGACTTCCAAACAATAGCATTACACTTTACAGTGCTCTTGAGTCTTTTTGCCTTCCTATATTCATCAACTTTACCTTTATGACACTTTAAATGTGTTATACACAGTAGTCTATTCTCAATTCCAATGTATAAATATTTTATTACTCCAGCTCTACAAGTTTCTGACTGGATACCCTACCAATACCTCCAACTCAATAGATCTAAAACTGAATTTATCATTTTCCTGGCCACCTTCTTCTCTGCTTTAACCAGCTTGCTCTGTAACACTTGGTGATACTTCCCTTTAACATCACATACCTAAATTAATCACCAAAAGCTACGCAATGTATTCTCCTTCCTAAACACCATATCAAATTGGTCCCCACCCTACCCCATTCCATCCAGACCTCCACTACCATTTCTACCTCACGTTACTATACAACCAAGTCCCAGAAGTTCATTTAACTTTCTATCAAATCATCCTGCAAATTTCAAGCAAAGTGGCATATCTAAAATAAAATACTGATCAAGGTAATTTCCACCCAAAAGCCTCTGCATCACTTCCCATGGCCACTAAAATAAAGCCTAATAACCCATAAGCAAAACAGTATAGCAGTTAGGTACTTTGGTTCTAGAGACACACAGATGTGACCCTGCCACTCAATAGCTGTATGACCTTGTAAGTGTTACTTAAGCCTAAGTTTCCTCATCAACATAGGGGATGATAATAATAATATCTGTTTCACAGGGTTACTGTGAGTATTAATGAGAAAAACCATGTGAAGAGCATAGCGTGACATCTGGCACATACTGAAAATGCAACAAATGTTACTATGTTTTTATTAATATGATCTGATCTACTCTTGTACCTCTCTATATCTTGCTCTTTTCCTCTTAACATCTCCCACCCCCAAACCCACAGATACTTATTCTCTCACTTTATGCTCACTCTATTTAGCTTTGCCACACTGCTTTGCAAATAATCTGATAATATATTTGTCTCATAAACCAGGCCATGAGCTCCAAAGGGAGAGATTCAATACTTTATTAATCTTTGTAAACCTGGCACTTAGCATGGTTTCTTACATACAGTTTCCCAACAAAAGCTGCTGAATCGAATTTAAAACACATCATTACTTTTACTATTCCATATTACAGGAAGTTTCCATTCCTTTCACCATTATCATTATCATGTAGAACCATCTTTTGCTGGTCTATCTAATATTAGCTTTATATTTCACATTTATCAGCATAAACTCTAAATTTATGATCATAAGGAAGCTGCATTCAATGGGGATAACTTACCACAATAAAAAGGAAGTAATTTATCCACACACTTAGTTTCTCTCATTTGTGCATGGAGAACCATCTCAATTAATTATTATGGATTAAACATTTCTAAGAAAATTGATCTTTTAAACAAACAAACAAACAAAATCCACAGGCACCCTGGACTAGATTTCCCAAATGTCACTGAACAGTTATGAAAAAAAAAAAAATCACAAAACCCCACTTACATTTCTTAAATATTATACAAAGATTAAATCTCTAAATATTACCATTCACTTCCTTAACTTTTCAATGTTTAATGATAAATATTAAAATCTTGAAATTTCAACTGACTTGAGTGGTGGTTTATTATAATCTAAAATAATTGCTGCCCACTTGTCCGTATCTTGACATAATAGCTAAAGTGATCCATTTTTCCTTTATTAAAGTTACTGAAAAGTGATTTAACTGTTGCTTGGTATTATAATGGTAACGATCTAAAATCACAAATTCTGAACAAGGTAATATAGCTGGAACACAGCCTTATAGTATTCATCTATATAGATACAGCCTTTTTACATCTCTGGTGAATAGTTGTTGAGTTTAAAGCAAATGTTAAGAAAACTAAACATGGCATTTTGAAAATTACACACTGTAGAACTGCTGAGGTTTTCAAAGTTAATATAACTAAACCTCCTTTTAGGTCAGACATTAAAAAACATTATTGACAATTCCTATATCAATATACAAAGTAAAATAAAAATGAGTGTGAATCATATACTCTAAGGTTCTACATTTAAATTAGCCAGGATCCAATATTACATAAAATTAAAACACAATTTTTCTGCAATGAATTTAGGTATTTATACTCAGTTTATTAATAATACTCAATGATATCTGATTTATATTAACACATTCCTGCTTACCACAAAAATTCTCTCAGTCCCTTCTGATAGTTTATTTCAATCAACATAATCATAGAAAGCACTTTCCAAAGCTTTAAAAACACACATTTTAGGCATTATAACATTCCCATGTGTGACTACCACTGACATGTTCTACAAGGAAGCAAAACTAAGCACTGAAAGAGTAAAAGACTTTGTAATGCTATAAAGTCAGTCAGTAAGTCAATAACAGAATTGAAAACAGAATGTCAGAAATGAGATTCCTGACTCTATTTCTCCTCTCATAGTAAGACCACAATCTTCTGGTTCCATCTGCAATGAAACTTTTATACCCTGCTAAGCTATCTGCTTTTAGCACTACCAACAGCTAAACAAATAACTTCTATAACCTACTAGCTACCCTCAAGAGGTGAAATTCTAGAAAAATTAAATAACAGCATCCTCACATTCTCTTTATTAAAAGCAAAAATTGTAGTTGAAGAAAACTTTCCATTGCCAAGACTTAAGATACTAATTTTCGCTAATGTATTGTTTTCAAAGGTTCAAAAATTACTGAACCATAAAGTATTACTGTCCATTTCTCAAGGACATTTGCACTATAAAATCCACTTTGATGTTCTAGCTCAACACAATTAGTATAACTAGTACATTCAACATACTGGTTTTTCACCCACAGTGATTAATTTCAGATATATCATACATTTAAACTTACCCTTCAGGAGTCGTTTTAATTTTGCACAATCCACATTGATATACTGTAACAATTCTATATCATGAACATCAACATTGTCTTCTGAACAAACAGTCAATTCCTGTAACCTGAAAAGTAAAAACCAAAAATAATTTATCAACTGAAGTCTTAGGATAGTCCGAAATTCTGAATTCAACAGACTCTTCTCACCCTAATGATGAGTTTATAAAAGAAAATACACATATAAAAATAAGAGACTAGGGCTTCCCTGGTGGTGCAGTGGTTGAGAGTCTGCCTGCTGGTGCAGGGGACACGGGTTCGAGCCCCGGTCTGGGGGGATCCTGCATGCCGCGGAGCGGCTAGGCCTGAGAGCCACAGCTACTGAGCCTGTGCATCTGGAGCCTGTGCTCCTCAGCAGGAGGGGCCACGACAGTGAGAGGCCCGCGCGCCGCGATGAAGAGTGGTCCCCACTTGCCACAACTGGAGAAAGCCCACGCACAGAACACAACACAGCCAAAAATAAATTAATTAATTAATTAAAAAAAAAATAAGAGAATAAATTTTTAATGAAAATCTAAAGGAACATAACTAATTCAGGGGCTGTGACAAAAGAAACCGTGATAATCCAGTAAACTTCACAATGTACATCAAATCACCATGTTGTACAACATACAGAATTTAATATACAGAATTTTTTTTAAAAAAAAAAGATCACAGCATGCTGATAACTGCTGAAGCACAGTAAGAGATACTTGGGTAAATGAAATACTTTCTCTCTGCTATGTGTATTTTAAAATTTTTTCTATAATATAAAATTCAAATTTCAAATTATAAGTTAAAAAAAGATAAATTTTATTAACCTCTATTCACATCAACTAGACTTCAGAAACACGAATGACATTTTATCTACATTCACAGGATACATTTACTTTGAATTAAAAAAAATGAGTAAGCCTTTATTCACTGTGCTTTTCAGTCTGTACGTGCGCTTACGTGATTATTTAATTAGTGTCCCTCTCTCACAGAACTTAAGCTTGTAATGACAAAAATCTTTCTAAACCCCAAATTTCCCTCTTATTAAATATGAAGTTACCAAAAATGTAGAAAAATTTAGCACTTAACAAAAATACAGATGTTTAAACTGCTAAGAAATTCACTTAAGCTTAATAAATAAAAGAGGTTAAAGTTTTCTTCTTTTTTTTTCACTAACAACCAGAGGTCAGCTTTTCAAAAGTTGGTAGTGCTAATCTATTGTTGTGTGCTTCCTAATGAAGCTTGCTTATTTCAATTAATAGATATCAAAAATGTAAGCAATAGAATGAAATTACTAATTTTCATAAATGCAGAGATGTGTGAAAAAGCACAAATAGGACATGACCTTATTCAAAATATTAGCTCAAAGTATAACCATTTCAGTATAATTTAAAATTGACATTAATCATCACACTAAACCTTCAGTTGCTAAAAATGAAATCAATGCTATTTCTTCCTTCTCAAATTCCTCTTTCACTCACTTTAGCCCATAGATGTATAGCTAACATTAAAATTATTCTAAGCACTTACACTAATGTTCTTCTTATCATCAGGGTGAGAAAAGCTTAGCAGTTCACACTGGGAATGAGAAGGTCCTCAAAACTGATTTACATGCTACAAATTCCACAGCTGCTGCAAAGAGCCTAAAAATATGGAATATGACTCCTTAAGAAACACAACTTAATAAATCAGCAACACCAACTTTTGAAAAGCTAACTCTTGTGGTTGTTTGTGAGTGGTTGTGGTTGTTTTATAGTCCAGTTTTTACCAGAAGGAAGGAACATTCTGTGAATTTATAAGGCAGAGAAATCAAATAAAGGGTATTCTGGGCAAAAGAAATGAAGTGGAAAACCTATCACTAAAACATCTAGAAAAACTAGGTAAACTGAACAACAACAAAAAGATATTTTAAATGTATAGAAATAAAGCAAAACAAACACTAAGTACCCACCCAAGTCCAGAAATGGAAAGGAAACTGAAAACCAGAGATGGTTTTGAAGGCATGATCTAGCCAACAAAAGAAGGGTGAGAGTCAGTCAGATTTTTTTTCTCTCCTTAACCTAGGGGTCTGGGGCTAAAAACATCCACACGGGACTGGATACAAAGTCCTGTACCCTCATAATGCAGAGAGTAGAACCAGGGGCCTGCATAAAAAACGTGGCTAGAAAGAGCTATGCACTTCCTTAAAAAAAGAAAGAGACACTGAAAGACAGAGACACAGAGAAAAGAGAGGGAGGGGGAAAAATCTACCAGCACAAGAAGTCTGTCTGCTCTGCCTAAGCTTTGGGTAGGGGAAAAAAATCACCCAGGGCTGTCACCTTACAAGGGTTTGAGGCCAACATTTGTACTACCCATACAATCTGGGGCTGAGAAATTAACAAAAATATAGGTCCAGAACTGGGCACTTGGCAAAAGCAAATGCAAAACCGTCACTAGGATACTCCCACAGTCCCAGGCTACAACAGATTCCCAAAGAAAATACAGACTGCACTAAAGATAAATTTGCAATCAAAGGTTTACAAAACAGAGAGAAAAAATTCACTGGGACTGACAGTTGGCCCACACAAACAAATGAGATTATTTAACAATCTTAAAGAGAATATATAATAAGTATGTTTTAAATAATTAGACATATAAGAAGAAATTTTAAACTATTAACAACAATAAGAAACCATTTTTAAAAAACAGCAGATTTGTAAAAGAATCAAACAGAACTTTCAAAGTCATTGAGTCTTCTGCTTCTGGTATATGTCAAATTAGGTATTTTTCAGGACCCTCCAACTACAAAACAATTAGATCCACTGCATTGAATAATAATTCTGTGAAAGCAGCTAATGCTCTACATAAAAGAGTACTATGAGCCACAGAACATGGTATACTTCAGCAGAATAAAAAAGTTATCTTATGACCTATAACTCATATTATTCCCTTAAAGAAAAGCAAAGGACAGAAATATCAAAAGCTAATGTTAACCCTAAAAGAGAACCATCCATAGACAGGGAGAATGGTCAAGCACAGCAAATTTTCATGATACTGATTCATCTAGTACATACGAAGTATAAAATCAATCTTCAGAAAGAACTGCCATTCCAGTTCCTTGCATATTTTGTCACCTAATGCTACGACAGCAGTGTCACAGGATAACCCCCTCTAAATTAAACCATCATAATGGTCTTTTAGGTAAGTGACCCTCTAATAAGATCAGCTCCTATTTCTGGCACCAACTAAATGAAACAGCAAACGTAGCTGTCTGAAACATTAATTTCATAGATCCCATCTCTGAGCAGTTTGTCCCCTGAAAGCTAAAGAAACTGGCTTATTCTGGAGACATTTAACTTCTACTCTGCAAACAGTGAAGTAGATTCAGGAAATACCCAAAAGTTGTCTACTTTTACACGTGCCAGTGCTGCAAAATAAAACCTTTGGTGACCAGAAGATTTTTAGAGTTTTCAGAGGTGGCACATTTGCTGTGTTTTATTAAAGCAATTCATGTTTGGATAGACTAAAAAACATTTTACCCTTTTGATCATTTTCTACCTTCAATGTAAGATTATTTCAAACAGTAAGACTGGTCTAGTAGTCACCTAAACAAAGAAAGGGTTTGGTTTTGTTTTTTATCATTTTAATGCATCCTATTACCTAGGTGTTTGCTACCTTGCTGATTCAACCAGTGTACTATTTACTCAGAATATGAGATGTTAACACTCAAGAGATTTCATGAAGACATTGTTCTATTGTATAACCATTACCCTACATTATCAGTCATATTATAACATTAGATAAAATTTTAATTTTCTTTGCACTACAGTTCTGACGAGAGGTTGGAAGAATACTGTTGCCCAGCATCACGATCAAAGAAATGCCATTTTTTATTAAAAAGACTGCAGGATTTTGAAGTTAGCCAATTCCGCCTAAAAACCACAGCACAAATTCTCAAACTATGATGTATGTTCTCATTCACATCTGTTGGAAAACAACATAAGAATGAACTAAGCTAATGGACGTCCACTGCTCACACAACACAGACAAACCAAAGATGCAGGTGCCATTAAGCATTCTGCGTTAGTCTTTGATCCACTGAATCACTAGGTGATTTATGTTATACTTCCTACTTGGTCTTAATTAGGGACCCATTTGACTCTATTTGCATGAGAAAGGCAAATCGTCTGCATGAAATTAAGATCCAGAGTTACCTGCTACCATCAGCTACAGTCCTATATCCATTTCTCCATCTCTAGCATTATCACAATGAATGATCACATGATGATTTCTAAGCATCAATAAAAGCTTAAATTATACTTATCATACAATTTTAAAGCACAGCAGTGGATATTATAAAAAGGATTTCATCAAAATGAGGCTAACATAGCGGTACCAGGAAGCAGCCAGGCACAATAAAACGGACAGACTCTGAAGCCAGCCGAACTTCGAAGTTTTGGGTCCTCTGTTACCTGGCACAGCACCTTGATAACTTCTTTAGTATTAGTTTGCTTACCTATAAAATGGGGTGTCACCTACACTTCAGGGATACTGTGAAGATCAAACAGCATAGCACATGCTGTAAATGCTCAACAAATGGGAGATTTCACAGTTCATACACTTAAAATACAGTTCACTTTCTAGAATTACTCATTTTCTTGTGCTTCCACATTGCTGGTTTGTTTTTTTTGTTTTGTTTTGTTTTTTGATAACTTAGGAGCTTGTGATAAGGATCAGAGCGTTAAGATCATTAGAATTCTGACTACTCATCAATTATTCTGATTGACTAATTTCATTACAAGGAATAATACGTTAAAAAGCCAAACCCAAAATTTATATCTATCAATAGTATTAAAAAAAAAAAAGCCCGGTCATGGGTGACATTTTTTTCCTAAAATTTAGACTTTCAAGTTTATCATAGTACTCACATTTAACTGTACCCACCAATAACACAACATTACAAAATAAAAATTTCAAAGAAATCAATGTATAAAATTTCAACAGAAGCCCAGGTTAAACTCATTTCTGTCAACTTTTTACTTTTACGTAGACAAATTTTATACTACTTACAACATTCCTATGTAAATTTACACACTAACCTGGTAGAAATTCGACTAAAGACTGCATTGAAGTTGTTGCAGCTGAGAGAAAATAAAACCCCAGAGGCAGAATTCCGAAGTTCAGCTGCATGTTGGTTTCCCTCACGACAAGTGTGAAGAAAATGGCAGATTTCTGGCAGCAACTGTTTGACCAGCATCGTTTCATCTAACCTCATCGTGTCCTTTGGTTGCTAAAATAGAAATAATCACATGATTCTAAAACTTTCTTAAACTTACCTGTAAATATTTTCTATTATGGTAAATTTCAAACATACATAAGAGATGAAACAGAATAACGAACACCCATATACTCATCACCTAGACTACACAATTGTTAATATTTCATCATGTTTGCTTTATCTATCTACAATTAGTTTAATAAAGAGGGTGGTTCCATCTTTCACTTCTTAATCACAAGAAAAGTCCAGGTACCCCCATCCATCCTCCTCAGCACCCCAGTTTCTGCTTGTTCCCCTGTTCATCAAATCCCTACATAAGCCCTTCCCTTCCTGGGAATCCCTAGCTTACTGTGAGTCCTAAATAAACTTTACTCATATTCACTGGTGAGTGCACTGTGTCATCTGTCTCAACATCCAAATTAATTCCTGGGTGAGCAATCACATCTACCTTTGGGCAGACTGACCAAAACAGATAGTTATTACTTATTACAAATAATTTTGTTTTGGTTTAACCATTTCAAAGTAAATTCCAAACATCATTACTTCACTACTAACTTACTTCAGCATCTCTAAAATATAAGAAAATTCTCCAATATAACTTCAATGCAATCATCACACCAAGGAGAAAAAAAAAATTCCCTTAGATCAGCTAATACCCAAACCGTATCCAAATTTCCCCAACTGCCCTGTAAATGTCTTTCATAGCTGTTCTTGTTTTATTCAACCAGGATCCAAAAAAGGTTCACAGATTGCAGCATGATTGTAACATTCCTTTAGTCTCTTTATCCTAAAACTATTTCCCCCTCACACACCATATAGATCATTTTTATTTTCCATAACATTGACTTTTTTTAAGAAAATAGACCAGCTGCCTTACAAAATGTTGTATATTATTGATCTGATTATGTCTTAGTGGTGAAACCTGTTCTTCTAGTTGTTGTATTTTCTGTTAAGCTGGAATCTAAATATAACAGTCTGATTAGATTCAAGTTAAACACTAGGTAGAATTCACTACAGTTTGTATTACATCACATCAGAAGTACATAATGCCAGGTGGTCTCTCTGTTCATCACACCAAGTTTGATAACTTTGGTGTTAACACTGAGGTTTCTACTTTGTAAAATAAATCTCTACAATTAACAAAACAGCCAATGGATAAGCTACCCTTAGTTGAAAATAGACTGTTCCACATCAGTATTTTACCTAAGAGCTTTAGTATCCTTATATGAAGGACAATTTTGATAATATCAAGCATAATGACAAAGAACAAATTTTTGTAAGTGTGCTACGATCAAATCTGTAATTGCATTCCAAAAGCTTTCAGATGCAAATACACTGAAACATTTGGACAGTAAATAAACAGATATCACAAAAACCTGCAAAATTTGAGTTACAATGCTCTTTCTTATTTATAGGCTAACCAGACAATACAGGTGTTGAAACCAACTCCAATTAATATACAAATAAAAATTATAGAAGTGTTCAATCTTTTGAATAATAGTCATATATACAGGATCAAAAATACTTAAGATTCCTCAAATTCTACAAAATTTTACACATAAAATTTTGGTTTTAATCATGATATTGATAAGTGTTCACTTTCATTTAGCTAGCTCAACTACTAATATGATAAATATGTACTATAGGGCTCAGTTCTTAAACTGTCTCAACTTACTTTGATCTAAAAAGGAAAACCAATAACCAACAAGGACCTATTGTAAAAACAATTTTTTTTAATAAAAAATAAAATAAATAAATAAGTAAAAAGGAAAATCAGGACACAACCATAAAGTCATTGAAGGCAATCCAGAAAAACACAGCTGTTCAATAATATGAATAGTATTATTTTTAATTATAAATTTAATTTAAAAATTTATACATTTTCAATAGAGCAGAGCAAGCTAATATATATTTTATGTATTATAAAAGCTGTACCATGCCCACTTAGTAGGGCTTCAATTAAGCCATCTCCAAAGAGTATCAAATTAAACAGGGGTCAATGATATCAGTGATCATTATCCAAAATATCTTTACCACTACCTCTCAATTATAAATGTTAATGGAGAAAAGATGTAGAACTGAAGAGGCAATAAACCAGCCTACCCCCATTCAAACATGGGTGTCACTGATATACTGGCATCTACAATCAAAGTAATAAGACCACTACAAAGAATTGATTCAAGAGAAGTTGAAAAATTGTCCACCTTCAAAATTCCATCATCCTATTTAACGGCTTTTTTGCTCTTTCACTCTACTTTACAAATGAACAGCCCATCACAAAGTAATACATAGCACAAAGCTAAAACAGAACTAGCTTGTCCTCAATTGAAGAAGAAAATTTATAAGCACTGTCACACAATTTTGGAATGTGGACAAGGGTCAATAAAAGAATTTAAAACATTATGCTTAGGTTTTGTGGCCTACAGTCTTAAATATTATACTTCTCTAGTCTTAAATATTATACTTCTCTTCCCTAAGGATACATCATTGTGTGAATGTAATTATTTTTTCCAATTCCCTACCCTACCCCTTTTCCAACTCCCGACGCTACCCCTTCTTGAAACACTTTGTTCTCTCTGTTCTCAATTGATCAGTCCTCATATGTCAAAGTCCCTTCCCATCTAGTTTTACTATAAACAACAATTATAACGTATGTGGAAGAGAGAAGCAATTCTGAATAAAAGCAAAAGATGGGTCAAAGGAAGAGAGATTATAATCTCAGAATAAATAAGTTAACCCCAATACATATTGAATAGACAGACCTTTAAAATGGAGGTATTAAATTTATATATTTATGTAAACTCCTACCATTTTCCAGGAAGAATTAAAGCTACTGAAGTATAGAAGCACTATGCTTTATACAACACAAACATTCTTGGGGACTTCCCTGGTGGTCCAGTGGTTAAGAATCCACCTTCCAAGGCAGGAGACGCAGGTTCAATCCCTGGTCAGGGAACTAAGATCCCACATGCTGAGGGGCAACTAAGCCCGTGCACCACAAATACTGAGCCTGCACGCAGCAACTACTGAGACCGCGCACACTGGAGCCCACGCACCACAACTAGAGAGAAGCCTGTGTGCAACAACTAGAGAGAAACCCGCCTGCAACAACTAGAGAAGGCCGCACGCCGCAATGAAGAGCCCGCGCACTGCAACGAAAGATCCTGCATACCGCAACGAAGATTCCGCATGCTGCAACTAAGACCCGACGCAGCCAAATAAATAAATAACCAGAAATATTCTTGAAAAATTTCTAAGTAAGTCATGGTTGAAAACTCTGAGATAACTATTTAGAGGAAACATGAGAAACAATTGTTTGGTACTCAACTACTCCTCCACATATCTATTTTATATGTTCATATTTGCATAACAAGTGTTCTTCAGGTAGAATCTACCACAGTAATAGTAATAGTTTTAATTTTTTAAGTTCTCTTTTACATAGATTTGAAAAGTAAAATATAAAATCAGATTCACACAGGGGGAAACAAGAGTCTCTTGGTCTTTAACATCACATTCTTTGGCAGCTAAGCAATGCCACAGGCCTAACCAACTGGAGAAATCAGTTAAATGAAATAGTGACTTTTCCACAAAATTTTTTCTAGAAAACCTGAGAGAGAGAGAGAGATGTGACTCAAGCTTAACACTTTATAAGTAATCTTAATATCTATTTAATTTACAAAAGATGAGAATATAATTTTTTCTTGAAAACTTCTCTATGCTACCCAGTCAGCTCTGTTAACAAAATTCATTTTCATGTCTTAGACAAAAAGTCCATGACTCTTCTCCTTGTCCACACCTATGCTTCAGAACATCAGATCACTCTCAAAAACAAATGCACAAACCTGCCTATTCAAGAATAGATGTACTCACCCCAGCAAGACATTTTTCCAGTGTATCCAATATAATCAACTGAGAGAGATATAAATTTTTTTCAGCAGCTTCTCCAAATATTCTCTAAAAGAAAAGATATTCAGAACACTAAAAGTTGGTTATTACTCTCCACTACAAATCAGCACACATCTGAAAAGTGAGGGACTAAGGATCAAGAAAATCAATAATCATTGTATCTCCCACATTATACTATATTTAAATCTATTAGTTCTGATTTTATCCTAATGCTCACACAAAATAAATTCTCAGGCAAACAATCTGCCATCAGCCTGCCACAGTAAAAGATACTCCGGGTTATACTTTAAAAATATGTAGTAAATGTACTTTGAAACAAACAGCATTAAAGAGATGGTAACATTAGGAAAATCCCATGTTCTGTTATTTTTTAAGTAAAATTTAGATTTGAACAATATAGAAAAAAATATGTAGGATTGATTTAGATACACATTCTTTACCAGAATCTTGAACTGAACATTTAACCACGCTTTGATGCCACAAAATAATCAAAGCCTAACTCTTACAGCAACAAAATGCTGTAACACCAATTAAAGCGAGTTTTAAGCATTCACTATCTTTAAATCAAATACTACACTATTAACAGCAGACTATAGTTTCCACAATTCAGTTTACTCGATAAGCACTAAATGAATGCCAATATCTCAATACTGTTTTTGTTTTTAAAAGAAGGGTCCAAATACTAAAACATTTTCAATCTGAGAACATGGCCACTTATCTATAAAAGCAAAATCCTATCTGTATGACCCACACGCTATGCAACAGAAGAGTTCCATAAAATCTTAAATGTATTTCTGTAAGTCACTTTACATATTTATAAAAGGTCCTTTTTTCAGAAAATCTTAATTTTTTTCCATAAAGAGAAAATATGATTGCCCACTCCTCCAGTTTACTAATTGTGTAAGCCTAGGGTATCTTCCAATCAACTTTTTAAAAAGAAAACACACCAAAGATGATGTGACTATGAAAATGGTACTGATTTTCACAATCTACAACCAGAAATCAGTTTCACTGCTCAATGCAAACAGTATAAACTGTGGTTATAAGTGCTCAAAACAAGCAGAGCAGTTTGGAGTTAATCAAGAAATACCCAGATCGGTTGTTCTGAACTGAGTATGAAGGAGATTTTAGATAGAAATTGACACAGAGGAAAGAATCACCGGACAGCAAGAGGAGAAATAATAAGTTCAAAGGTACAGAGAGAAAATAGTTGGAGTACCCTGAAGTCTAGGGAATGTAAACAGATTTTATAAAACAGGAAAAAAAGAAGCAATTATGAGCTTTTGACAGTGGAAATACTTGATAAAATAGGTATTTGAGGAAAACTGTTTCAACACAGGTTCTCTACCATGGAATCTGTCAGGTTACAGGACGAAGGAAATAAAACAGCATCTTCACAAAAGCAATCTCACATTTTAGGACTACAAAGTCATATTTTATTTACCATCTACTTAGGACTGGGACAATCTGATATGTAAATATTCAAATGAGAAGCTAAGGAAAAGATTTTAATAGATTACTATGGTCAATTTAAATATGACAAAATCTGTATGAAATCCTAATTCCAGAAAAATGGAACAGTAGATATAGGGTCACAAATAAGACAAGTATCTAAGAAAAAGAATTAAAATCTAAAAAGAAAGTTAAAAGGTTACCTGTGCTCATCCGTAAATTAAGATGAATGTTTATATCCAGAGTCCACAGAAAATGACTTTACATACTTAAAAATATGCTGTTCCAAAGTTTAAAATCAAAAACAAACCGAATTCTCCCGTAAAACAGTAATGCAAACACTCACCATATTGTTAACATTCTTTAAGATAGTGGTGAGGCCGCTTATAACCAAAGAAAACTTGTATTTGGAAATATTGATAAGACATTCCTTGTTGTGTTCGGTACTGACTTTGGTATGTGTATTCTGCTGTCCTGTTTTTATTGGAAGCTGAGGAAAAAAAAAAAAAATGTTAGCTTACATTTTAAAATGACTACCGAGAACTCTATTTCTCACTGAAAATCATGAGATATTAGGAAAATTTTATCAACCACAATTACCTATATTTGTATCTCAAGCTCCAATTTTCAATATATAAAGGAATTTATAGCAAATCTAAAATTCTTTACAAATTTCAATTTTTGCAGCTTTCTTTCTAGAAGTCATAAACCTCTCTCTACAAAATTAAATCTTCACCCAGCACTATGTGAGACAGGATGATGACTCACAGAAACAGAGCTACTTCCTGCAGCTAAAAATTATTTCAGAGAAAAATGTCTGCAATAAAATGCAATCTTTTCTTTTATATACTGAACTCAAGCATTAAAAGAACAATAGACCAAGAAAATCTATGCCTTAGACCTCTGGTCAATAATGGCAAATAACGGCAGATAGTGCAGAAAAGAAAACAAACTGTATAGCCTGGAATATACATAGTAAGACTGATTCAGGTAAGATAATCACCCTCAGGTACACAGCTGAGGGAGTAACAGAACAACAAAGAGATAAATCTCATGAAAAAAATATCCTTTAAGGGAGATATTATATTTATATTTACCTATATTTATCTGAGAATGAACTAAGTTGCACTACCAGGAAGTTCATCTCTACCCTGTTTAAGAGCAGTATTCTGTATTGAAAGCATCACGAACATATTTACTGTTTAAATATTAGATCCTGCTAACACTAACAGAGAACACTGATGAGGTTCCTCCGTGAAGAAACAAACCTGAGTCCAGCTTCCTCATTTTTAAAATGGTGCAACAAAAGGTGGAAAGAGACCAAGCAGCATGCCCAAGTTTGCTTAGTCAGTTAATAATGTGACTAATTTGATGGTAAAGAAACACTAAATAAAAGAGGGGAAGCATGTTTAGGGTTTAGAAGATATGGCAGAACAGAAGCTACAGAATTACAGAATGTTACAAGATTATGGAGAGAAAAAAATCTGAAAGACCAAAAAAAGAGGATTGTAGAAGATGACAGTGGCTGCACCAAGAGGAAACTGTAATGTAAACTGTGGACTTTGGGTGATTATGACATGTCAATGTGGGTTCATCAATTGTAACCAGTGTGCCACTCTAGTGGGAGATGCTGATAATAATGGAGTCTGTGCATGTGTGGAGGCACAGGGCATATGGGAAAACTCTTTATCTTCCACTCATTTTTTCTGTGACCCTAAAACTGCTCTAAAAAATAAACTGTTAAAAAATGCAAGGGCTTCCCTGGTGGCGCAGTGGTTGAGAGTCCGCCTGCCGATGCAGGGGACACGGCTTCGTGCCCCGGTCCGGGAAGATCCCACATGCCGCGGAGCGGCTGGGCCCGTGAGCCATGGCCTCTGAGCCTGCGCGTCCGGAGCCTGTGCTCCGCAACGGGAGAGGAGCGGCTGGGCCCGTGAGCCATGGCCTCTGAGCCTGCGCGTCCGGAGCCTGTGCTCCGCAACGGGAGAGGCCACAACAGTGAGAGGCCCTAGTACCGCAAAAAAAAAAAAAAAAAAAGCAAATACCCATAAGATCTTTTACATTTGATATTAAGAAAATTAAGAATTGTTAATATCCTTAAAAAGAGAAACACAGAGAGAAGATGGCAGTGGCTGCAATGTAGCTTGTGAATCTCCCCAAATCCCTCTGTGAGGGTTCACTTTACATGTCAACTTGATTGGATCATAGAGCACACAGATATTTGGCTAAACACTATTTCTGGGTGTGTCTCTGACGGTGTTTCCAGATGAAATTAGCATTTGAATAGGTGGACTCTGTAAAGCAGTTTGCACCCGGTCCAATGTGGGTGGGCATCAGCCAATCCACTGAGGGCCTGAATAGAATAAAAAAGGCAGAAGGAGGAAGAACTGGTCCCTTTTGCTTAACTACTTAAGCTGAGACATTGATCTCCTGCCCTTAGTGTTCCTGGTTCTCAGGCCCTCAGACCCCTCTATCTCCCCTGTATTGGTTCTGTTTCTTTAGAGAACCCTGACTAATACACCCCCTCATAAAATAGCAAAGAAGCTAGAATTGCAAAATCCATGGACCATATCTACATCAAAATTAGGGGACAAGGCACCCCACAATAACCAAAATACAAGCAGCAAATAAGAACAAACCACTTACAGCTACAAAACTGGTGTGGTATAAGCATTTGTGCAAGAGAGAGCAGAGGGAAGCAGAATGTTTGATGGATCTGACAAGGAAAATCCCCAAACTGCATTACATCCTCAATGAAAAGTACAGCAGGACAAGTTTAGAAGCTTAGCTATAAAATACAGGGGTTTTTGTACACATGGCAATTGGCACATGTGTGCAAAAGGTCTATATAAAGTCTGAAAAGAAGAAAGCACACTTTAAACCATCACCGTCTAATAGAACTTTCTGTGGTTAGGATATTATACTATATCAACAATGCTCATTACTGTAGCCACTAGCCATATATGGCTATTAAGCACTTGTTATGTGGCTAATGCAAATGATGAATCAAATATTTAATTTTATTTTAATTTATTTTACTTAAATTTAAGTAGCCATTGTACCCACTGGACAGCACAGTTCTAAACTAACCAGCTAAAGAAACACTTCCTTCAAGGATGAAGCCCATGCTGAGAAGAAATTGCTGAGATTCACTCCGGACTGAAACAAGAACAACAGGGCAAAAGAAAAAGATCCAGATAAAGGTGGAAGAGAGGAAGGAAGCCAAGAGAGCTCACAAAGAATGAGATGACATATTCGTTTAATTTCATGAAAGCAACAGAAGAGCTCCAGAGCCATGAAGATAGAAATTATCCTGGCCCACATTTCTCTCCTACCAATTCAGGAAAACTAATTTCACATAAAAATGAGCAACAGAAAACACTGTAGTCAAATCATATGTGAAGTTGTTTTGAGAAAAAAGAATAAGAGACAGAATAACACAGCAACAGAAAATGAAAACACGCTAAAAAGATATGCTCACCAACAGATGAAACTGTAAATTATTAATTCAAAATGAGCCAAGAGAAATTTTTTTAAATGACTAAAGATATGAAATAACAAATTAGAATTACAAATAGAAATAAGTTGACAAAACTCAGGAAAGGATTAGAAAAAAAAAAGAAAAATCATTTCAGAAGTGAAGACTAACCAGAAGATATTAAAGAGTGAATAAAACAAAATATAGGGCTTCCCTGGTGGCACAGTGGTTAAGAATGCGCCTGCCAATGCAGGGGACATGGGTTCAAGCCCTGGTCCAGGAAGATCCCACATGGGAGCAACTAAGCCCGTGCGCCACAACTACTGAGCCTGCGCTCTAGAGCCCGCGAGCCACAACTACTGAGCCCACGTGTCAAAGCTACTGAAGCCTGCAAGCCTAGAACCCATGCTCCGCAACAAGAGAAGCCACCACAATGAGAAGCCCGTGCATCGCAGTGAAGAATAGCCCCCGCCTGCCTGCAACTAGAGAAAGCCCGCACACAGAAATGAAGACCCAATGCAGCCAGAAATAAATAAAATAAATTTATTAAAAAAAAAAAAATATATATATATATATATATATATATATAATGCTTTAAGAGAAAAAGAAGGTAAATAGGAGGAAAATTCTAATATCAAAAAGAAAAAAGAATGAAAAGAAAAATGAGATGGGATTGCAATAAAGTGACAGAGAAGACAGGCAAACAAGATCCAACATATGTATAACGGGAGTCCTCAAAGAAGGAAATCAAATCAATGGAGTAGAATGAATATTAGAAACTAGACTTCAAGAAAACGTTGCTGGGCTTCCCTGGTGGCGCAGTGGTTGGGAGTCCGCCTGCCAATGCAGGAGACACGGGTTCGTGCCCCGGTCCGGGAAGAACCCACATGCCGCGGAGCAGCTGGGCCCGTGAGCCATGGCCGCTGAGCCTGCGCGTCCGGAGCCTGTGCTCCGCAGCGGGAGAGGCCACAACAGTGAGAGGCCCGCGTACCGCTAAAAAAAAAAAAAAGAAAAAGAAAAGAAAACGTTGCTAAAATATTAGGTTGACTTCCTAATGGAATATACTCTAGGGACAAAAAAATGAAGATAAATCTTGATCCTGTATGTATTGTGGGGTCATGGAAATGAGTGATTCGGTGATATTTTAATTCTGTCACTACTGGTGTCATTAAAAACTGCGACTCTCAGTACAGGAGAGGAACAGTAAAGTAAAAACCCTGTAGTCTTGAATTGGAACTGGAAGTATCTATATCAATTCTTAATGTAGCTTTATCTTGTATGAAGAAAATAAAATATATTTTTCTCCCTTTGTTTGCTGAAAATGCCTAGAAACAATGACCAACCCTGCAGTAATGATCTTGAGATTCCATTTCCTGGTAAAAGGAATTGGAACTCCTTCAGAAAATGGCTGATTCCACATCTGAGGCAAAAAGGTACATGATGAACCTGGAACACTTTGTCATACCAGATAGCAAGAAAGCTGCCAAAGAAAGCTATCAAAGGGTCGAGTCAAAAAAACTCAGGAATAAATTTTGAGGAGGCTCCCACTGACCAAAAATGGAATAATTTGAACATTGTTAAGGACAACAATTTTAATTTACTGAAACATCAAATATGTTTTAATCCATACTTCTGCTTCCAAGGTAGAGTAATTCACAGCAAAACAACAACACCTCCCTCCCCCAAACTCACACACACACACAAAAGAAAAAATACAAAAATCAACTGTTTAAAGATTTTAGAGATCTACTGAAGGAATGAGGACTAGAGAGGCTAAGTTTCATAAAAAGGGTGAACTACGGAGAAGCAAGGTGATCTTCTGCAGCTGTTTCCTCCCACCCTGGAGCATTTGCAGAATCTGGGCCACCCCCCCAAAAAAAAGACTCAGAAATATGCCTTTCCCAAGCAAAGTACCTCTGTTGAGGGAAAG